GTGATCTGTCGACCAATTTATATTGTTTATGTATCCTAGTTTTGCCGCTGGGTGTAACTTAATTGAACATGAAATGATTCAATTAAATTTTATTCTAATCTTAAGTTGTAAACCTATCAGTAGAGTCAGCTAATAAATGTGTCATTCACAAACTATGAAAGCGTGAAGCCGGTACGCACTAATACAATGTTGTTATGTACCTACGAGTTGTAGGTTTGTTTTCATTCATTCCCCAATAGCACAGCTGACATCGCAGATACATTCCTACAGTACGTATGTACGTGTATACTGACCCAGAGCCTATGTTATGTACATGTATGTTTCACACTCTGCTGATTGAAAGTGACACGAGCTCACGGCTATGTCCATTTCATGTTTGTTGATGAAATCTATATACGTATCGATGAAAATCGAGATAAGAGCCGACATGAAGTTTTTACATGTAGTTTGTCGACCTTGACATACGAGTTATACATACATACAGGTACATGTATATATATATGTATCAATAATTGAAATACGGTTTGGCGCACGAAAAGGTTTACTGAGATCGAAAATTAGGTTTACTTACGAAATATAATTTAAAGGATTTTAGTCAATATTCTGCATGTATTAAGTTTTAGGTAATTTTTTTATAGTGTTTACGAAAATGAGATTTTCCAGATTTACTAAGTTTTTTAAATACGTCTGTATAATTTAGGTATGTCATCTTGGAACCAGTTGCATACCTCAACATTGATGAGATTGGTTTCAGATAACTGGATACTCGGAAAATTCTTCCAAAGAAAGCTTTTGTTCCAAGGCATCTTAATTGCCTAATCCTACTTTAAAGTACAAATCTAAACAACGGTGTGCGTCAAGGTGCTGTGTTATGTACGCTCATTAGCTTTGTATTACAAAATATTCATCACACGAGCTTTAGTGAGTTTGGAATGGGTAACACTTTGAGATCCATTTAAGTACAAACAAAAATATTTTTTTAGATTGAAAAACACCTCTAGTTTTGTCTTAGCCGCAAACTTGTGCGTATCCTAGGCTCGGTGATAACCGTAACAAAGACGTAAAGCCTCATCAATCAATCAAAAAACAAGCTTGTCTGGTCCCCTTGTGCTGTTGCCTGCGACGTCATCATTGCTGGTATCAAATTACATGGCATTGAAGTTAGTGTATAAGATAAACTGTATGCAAAGTAGGCAATGACTAAAATACAAACAAAAATAAAAAATAAAAATATATTCAAATTTAACCTAATTTAATTAGAATACCATTGTACTTCATTATTTAAGGAAAAGCCAAATGTTTGATATAAGGTTTCTTGAAAATAAGGAAGAGTTTTTTGGAACCGGGTTATGTAATATGACAGAGTTCTGGAATTATGTTTAGTAAAGATAGGAAATGAACAGTAGCATATGGTGAAGTACAAAACTGTACATATATACAAGCATGTACATTGTATGTACCGACATGTATACAAACAATCTGTGTGTGAAAAACAACATAACGGCGATACGTAAACACGTCTACACACAGATAATCCTGTATACCACGTATAGCATTAGTACGCTTATATAAGAGATTAAAAATAAATGAGGTTTTCGTGGAGTGGTGAACCATATTGTAAGTTAATTACATTTTTGCGCTATTGAAAAACGCACCTTGATTTTAATACTTTGTAAATAGTAGAAGCAACGGTCATTGAGTAACAATGACGTTAAACAATCTAAAAATAATTACCTTCCAGTCTGGACAATACAGAGAGGATTACGCGTGTACGCCTATTGACAAACATGAATTACAGCATTTTGTTGATGTTTATGTTATTTAAGTTAACAGAAATCCGTAAGATATACCAACCAATAAAATTAAGTGACTATATGTACGGTCTGAACGTGTCGTAGACCAGCAATCCAATTACAGAAGGTGTTTCGGTGTATAACGCTATCGGCAATCTAATCCCCACCTCATCATTCTCGTCCCGTAAAATATATTTTTAAATTATGATATTAATTATTTTTCTTTTGCGTCTGTTCTGTATTTTGACACTTGTTTACAAGTACGAGGGGTACACAGGCACAAACTTTTCATTGATGCACTTCTAGTGAAAATCTTTTTTATTAATTTTCCGTACAACTACTTTAACGCAGCAAATTTGATGAATAATTCAAAATAAGATATAAACTAACTAACTAATAATTCAAAATAAGATGTAAATTGAATGATTTAGATTTTTTCAGTTTTTAGCAAATACTATGGCTGTCCTACCGATGAGACATTGATTGTACTTGTAGCTATAAACGGTGAGAAATTCGACTCATCAAAGTTCGATTCATAAACGGAATATCAGTAGAGTTATACAAGAAACAAATCCGGACTTTGCTAAAAAAAATCGAGAAATCGAGAAATTCAATTTATAGAAGTTTGACTGTACATTGTAGCAAGAAACTGACAAAGTTAGCAATGAAAAAAATCCTTAATATTCAGACACGCGTACAGTGTACCATACGAGATCACAACAAGCTATTGGTTCATTGCTGTGAGACATAAGTACAGGTACAGTGCATGTGTAGTAGTGTCAGGGTGTCAGCATCCCCCTGTTGTGTTATACATACATTATGTACACCGTTACTCTGCTACATGTAAGTGTTGCTCCAGTCCACCCAGCTATTCAAATCGGTACAAACTTTCGGGGAAGTAAATATACATATACATACGTATACGCAAGACCGTATTCCTGTTAGTTTGGGTTATGTTACAGGCCTGAAGCCGAGTTAAGGAATTTCTCAATGTACAATGTTTGGTATGCCTAAGTGCATTCTCCCTGAACAGATAGTGGTTGCCGTATCCGTGTTAAAAAAAATAGTCTATATCAGATCCATATTTGTGTCAAGTTCGAGATATATTTTTTAACGTTTTAATCTGACTTAACAACGCAATTTATTCCAATATTAACAACAAAGCCATTAAATGGTATCTCAACGTTCTGAAGCTATCGATCGTCTGTCCACAGTAAGTTACGTCTATATATTTTTTGAAATGGTTACAAATGAAACCCGTTAGCCGTTTAATGAAATCAATTATAATGTGCTAACAGAAACGTTGATACTACCCACACACATTGTAACGAAATTTCAAATGGATAATTTGATAGGGTGACTAAATTGTAGAATTTGCACAGAAATGCTAGAACTCTGGCCATGCGAATAACGGTTGATACAAACCACATGGTAGATCAAATCAATAATTGAATATATTACTCTGGCGATCCTGTTATTGCGGGAACGATTTACTACTGATATGTCAAATGTGTTTTGGTATGGCAAACTGATTTCAATTACCGAATCATTAAATTGAATATGTCCCAACAGTACAGCCTCATTTATTCGAGAGATTTAACAAAACGTAGGAATTGCTTTTGCACAAGATTAAAAGAGCAAAATTGTAAAGAGCTTGGCGATACCAAAAAATGGTCGGAAATATATGAGGTGTATATGTTTGTGTATGGGGTTGGGAGAGGAAAGCANGATTATCCCTTTTTCTTCAAGTGATATCTTCTAACTCTGCAATAAACAATTATAAGAATTTGCCAAAGCGTGACCAGCTAGATCAATATAAAGAATGCTCCATAGGCTGAAAACGTTTGTGTATCGCCGAATAGTTTTGATGCTAGTTTGAAATTTCATTTACTTATTTATGTATTTATTAGGTTAAATTGTAAGTCTGACTTAAACCGATTTTTTTTGGATGAAAAAGACACTCTTAAATACATAATGTATATAACAATCTGTTAATTTCAGCTAAATGACAACCTTGACATTTGAAAACTAAAGATGCTTGTTGCACGTATTCTCTTCATACTAATGACTATTATAAAACCCACCATCGGATTTGTTACAGGTTATGATTGCTACAGACAGAAATATAGCAACGCATTTACAGAAATGTGTGTGATTATTTAGTTTTTATCGAACCATTAAATGCTGCTCGAAGCATTTTTTCATGGAGAATTCGTCCAAAATATAATTTTATCCGAGAAAAAATGCTTCGAGAAGCATTAATGAATTTGTTCCTAATGTCAATCCAAACCTTATTGTAGAGCTGTAACCTGCTGTCCTTGTTAAGATACTCTTACATGGTTCTGATACAATCAACGAAACTTCAAACAAAATCATTTTTGATCTTGTATTCGAATGTATTACAAAGTCCAACAGATTCTAAATATCTCCGTTTCTATCTATCATCTTTCTTTTCTCTTTTCCTTCCCTTTCTGTAATTGTGAGGGTATCTGAGTGAAAGTGTGTGAATCGGTGGCATATCTGTTTCATATCTGTGTCATTGTACATAAAAAGGAAAGCATCTAGTAGTCTCCGGGTTGCATGACACTCTCGTTAAAGAAATACAGAATTAAATTAACCATAGAGACTCCCAAACAATATGTTTCATTTCTAAGATTGACGGTAAAGACGTTACACAGGCCACAGAGCAACGATAGGAAATGTCTATTACAGCTGTTTAGAAAATTGGAAGTTGGCTATTTCAAAGAAAAGACTAAGAGATGCACAAAATTTAACATTAAATCCGTTACACGTCGTTAAAATTATTGATCTGGAATTTTACATGTCATTTATAACCTTTTAACGAAACAATTATTTAAAACTAGGTTCTTTGAAGTTAGAAGCATAGTGTGTGCAAGTGCATATATAATTCAGCTCAACAAAAAAGGACCATAGAGCGAAACTACAGGTACTTTCGTGTCAGCTCAGATTTCATTAAAAAATATGTTTTTGAAATAGGAAACACAATGTGTGCAACTGTTTACGAAATAAATTCAACTCAACACAAAAAGGACCACGGAGCGGAACTATTGGTATTTTTTCGCGCAAGGCAATGAGAAGCTGGAACAGTATACTATACAACTGTCGAGTATAGAACAGTGTGGTGCATGCCAACCTATTTGGCCCAGTGCCCTAGTAACGCACATGTAAAGAAGGAAAGGTACTTACAGCTCTTCCACGTTTTTCATCATCTCCGTCGATGACAGGACTGGAATGGCGCTGATGGTATTTACCAGTTTACACTCCATCACAATTTTGAGGTTATCATCTTCCACATATCGACATTGACAATGTTCAGCACAGTCCGGCAACGTCGAACCCACTAAAATGACTAAATTTAACACAATCACGTTGCTAACACTCATTCGTATGAACCAATCCATCGCGAAATTGTTAAACACGCAAGCTTTTCAATACAATTTGAGGGTTATGTCTCGAAGAAAAATACCAAACTCGATTACAATTATTAAAATCCTGGCATGGCGGTCCATGACAAATGTATATAATATATAAATTCTTCACATTATTAATGTTTTACAACGCCATACGTCTATATAATGAATTCGTGCAAACATAAATACATTTTCCACCGTGTGCATAAATATGCAACAGGTGTTAAAATTCTAAACGAATCGCAGTTATTACGGTGTGGTGAAGTACACGTTAACCAGCCAATGATCAACCATTAAGGGTGTCGGCTTTTGTTTTGTAATGTCATGTTGTACACATGGTCCGTAATGAACGTACAGTATCAACGCAGTAGGCCGTCAGTGGTTTAGAGTATATATATATATATATATATATGTATGTCCATAAACACTATGTTGTATAGTATGACAAAATATTGTTGTCAAGCTAAAATCGATCCTCATCCAATATCATCAACGTTCAATCCAAAGAAGTTCACGATATACTATAATACACCATTCGGGAATCTCACACAGCTGAGCAAATTACCGACGTATACATTTCAAACCGAACTCACGCAAGCTATATATATATATATATAACTGTAAGTACTCAATAGTTGACTGTGAGAAAAAATCTTAAGTAATAAACGTATTCGATCACTGGTGTATATTCTGTTTGTATAAGAAATCACAATGAATATATCTTATGTAACTTATTTAACCGGAATTTGTTGTTTTGTTTGTTAAGTTCCAGAAGGTAAATAAATTCCAGAGTTAAGATCACAGATATCCATGCATTACACCGCGCAGTTAACAGTTGGCCGTTCTAATTGAGACCTATCTTCCATCGTCTGACTATTATCTGCCGGTAGTTCGGCCATACTCAACATCTGGGGTCAATTATTACCGGAAATAGCCCCCAGGCCATCGTCGTACTAAAATCCGCTCCGGACGTTTGTGTTCTGTCCATTTAACACTGCACCCTTGTGACAATCCGGATTCAGGTTTCAATCAATATTGGAGCGCGCCATCTGTTGGCATGGAGAAAACTTCAGCCTAATATCGAATGCTTCATGTGCAGGATGAATGGGAGCAGATAGGTAGGTTACTCTGACACTCTCTACCAGTAATGGCTAGATGTTATATAGTCCTATTGATTTTTTTTACATCTCCCCAGATAAGATCGTTCTAGCTTTCATCCTATATCTCTAAGAGGTGAAGTTTATAATGTTACAGTGTACACAATGTCAGCTACAGGCGGAATAACTTCATGAAATGGACGTTATAATGAAACGTGGACGGTCACTTCCGGTCAGTAAGTCAAAATTCATTCCAATGTCGAACAAGACGTTCAACGTTTCCGGTATCCCTAAACAGTAGTCGTTTATAAAGCGAAACCTGTCAAGTCCAACGATAACACGGATAAAGTCCAAAATGTATGTAAAGTATGCGGTTGTTCTTCGAACGTTGAACATCACATACTGCAATATTTCTCAATAACATGTATCTTTACATTACTGAATTGTCAATTTTTTGTGAAGATTGTACACGTATATTATACGTCGCTATTTAGCCGTGTCAACATATCGCCTTTTACACAGGGAAATCGATAGTGTGTGTTGACAGGCTGAAATCCGATGTCTCGCCCTCCAACACCCACCTGTCTCGGCAAACAACGCAATATCTCTCAGAAAATGGGTGTTTTTGAAATTGTTGGTCACGATAGCGCAGTATTTGACTAGTGTTTGTTTGTTCGTTATAGATGTAAGATGATAAGAAGGGAAGAAATAAAAACAAATAAAAAAGTAGATAATGTTGACGCACCCGTTTGCGGAGGTTGCACTTGATTAAGAGCAATCTGGTCTGTGTTTCTGTGCTGCCTTTATGCGCCAACAGGCGTGAAGATAAACCATGGCTGTACATTGTATATACAGATGTGTATATAGAGAGAGAGCAAAACCCTACCCTGGGCTGTCAACTGGGATGGAGTCGGTGACTATGGGGTCGTACTAGTGCATTGTTGTAAGAGTGATGAAAAAGGAGGTCATATTATTATTCCTTCTGCTATGTACTGTATTGTTTTACAGCCACTTGAGATATTTTATAATTTAAATCCGAACAATCTCGCCTAAAAGGAACGCACCGTACAGAAATAATAATGTTTAAAGGCAAAATGTACAAAAAAACAAATTAGATGTATTACATATCTTACCAAAATGTTTAAGTAAACGATAGTAAGCATATACATTTTATAAATGACAAAAACTATATCAAGTTCATTTTTCTTAATACAACTTGTTTTTTTGTTGTTGTTTTTTTGTATAATCGACGCGGTCAATCATAAAATGCCTGACCATGAAAGGCCGACAGCGTGCATGATATTAAGATTGATCTTCAGTTATCCATGTACACGTACAAATGTACATGTAATGTAAGCATGTATTGCACATAATACTACATGTAAATGTGAAGGTATTGTATGTAGCGAGAGACGGTCCGCTCTAAGTTGCGTGAACCAACGTAATGCAGAATCGCAAACAACGTATACGACACCCCATTGGTGTTGCAAGTTCGTTATTAATATTTGAGTAAAATTAAAGTAAGGCACTATAATGACTTTCAACTAGTTATGGATCAATCTTTACTTTAGCCACCGATCTACCTTATGATTTCTATTACTGTAACAACGCCATGACCGATAATCTAAATTAAGATAACAGCTTGAATATTTAATCCTCGTTATATATGTGCATATAAGAATATAAGCCCCATATAAGAATGGATGGTTTCTGTAATTCAGAATATATATGCAAAACCAATAATGGTCCATGCAGTGTTAAATACCTAATCGGCCATTTCGTGTGATTTTGCTTAGTTATCTCTCCTACCTTCTTATCTTTACTGTTGTTGCTCTGTGATAGTAGACCATATGTTGAGTGATTTATTTCTGCTTCTTAAGATCATAATTCGATCCCATATCTAAATGATTTTAAAAGTATTTTTTCAAATTTGTTCATGAACGATTCCTTATTTTACCAAAAAAGTATCATATATCTATTGCCTAGCTAGAATTGTATTGTTTTACAAAAAAAAAAGTTCAAATATTTTGGCAATTATCTCCCTTGTGTGATACGGTTTAATTACTCTGTGGGGTTTTGCACAGGTTACGTGATGTGTTTACGCTTTTTAATTTACTACTCACGTGCTAGTTTTTACAGTAGATATGTGCTAACATTTTCTGGTTAATTTGCAGTTACATGTACCTGTCTTGTAGATGCGGGAACCGTAGCCTCTAGGCCCGATCGTTTTATTTATTTAATATATTTTTTTAATTATCGGATGAATCGAAATAGATAAAAATAAAATTTAAAAGATAAAACAGTCGGGCCTGGAAGCTACAGTTCCCAAAGTGATATGTACCTCTCTTGATACTTACAGCTTCTGTACATGTACGTTATTGGTTATGTCATAATAATGAGATCTGCTGAATTTATTACTTCATTCCTTATCTTTTATGTCTCCCTCGACACGTAACTAGCCTTGCATTCATTGTCTTTGTTGGGTTCTGAATGTTGAGGATTAATCACGAAATATCAATCAAACCATCAGCAGAAGGAATTTTCTAGCAAATCATATTCCGGTGAGTTTGCGTCCCAAATATTTTTATGAGTATTTGATCAAAATTTATTATCATTATTATAAATAACAGATGATTTCCAAAGGGAAAAAATATACAAAACAATAGAATAAATGTCACTCTAAGTCTAAGCCCCCTGGCCTTCTTCGTTGGCTTTCACCCTTGAAGAAGACCAGGGGGCCGACATAGTGGGACTCTCAGTGATATTTGTTCTGCATTAATTATCAATATGGCTTAAAAGATTCAATATAACTGCAGTTGATGCATGCATTGTAAAATACTTCCGGAAGCGGAAATGCGTCATTGATTAAATTGAAAGATGAAATGCGTTAGATATGTTTCTTGTTGGTACATGTATGTGCCACCCATTCTGATTCACCCACTGGAATAATTTGTGGAAATGGTTTAATTGTTCATCCGCCCTAGTACTGTCAGATAGACACCTTGTGATGGTCTCGAGGGTAGGGTGAACCGAGCGCGCGCGCGTTCTACTACATAATTGTATGACAGACTGCTCATCATTGACCGGTGATGACGAAGAAGGCTGATAGAATTTGACACCAACTCCCGACGGACCTATTAAAAGAGTCATCTCTCTAGGAAGTTGTAGTGATATGAATATTACTATAAAATGAATTAATTGGTATTTCCCAATTATAAAATAACTGTTATATATAACCTTATTTGAGTATTCATTTGTATAGCAAGTCTAACCATTTAACCGGAATTCATTGAATTGTTTTCAAATATTGATTTTTTATGGCTTTTTCAAACTATTAAGTACGGTTAACCGAAGTTAGAGTGTCCCGGAATCACATCAGGCACCATATGTTAACAGCCCAGTTAGCTCAACTTAACGAAATTCAAAACTAGCATATTTCCCGAAAGATTGAAATTCAAAACTTACCTTGTATTTACAAAGATTTAAAATGAGCATCTTTGACAACAAATACGAAAAAGATTTGTAAATTGTTACAGTGATCTCAGATATTAAACAACGGAACCCCGGTCCACATATAAGATGGCGTCACATATGCATACGAGCATACACCACACAATGGTGCAATTCCTCATTAGCATATCTTTAGCTACATTTGTGCTTCAGCAATTTGTATTATACAGTTATAAAAAAAACATCATTACGCGCTTCTTTTATCTCCTAAGTAAAACGGGGACGTTTTGGACGAAAGTGTTTTCAATTTACGGGTTTCCGTTACGCTGTCTGTTCTGATCAGCCATGTCGTTGTGGTTTGTATTAGTGTGTCTATCATCTTACGTTGCCGATTTGACGACAGTTTTCATTAGCAAAACTAAGTGCATTATTGGAATACATATCACGCACGAAGACCAAAAGTGAACGCTCACACAATAATGTGAGGGCGTGTTGTTTCAGGCACGGGGAAAATATAGACTTGCTTACGTATATCCCAATGCATATGTGCGAGTTCCTGCATAATTGGTGGTTTCCTTCCTTGTCTTCTGTTTATAGGACATTTCGGAAACCAAACATGTTAGGCAT